GAGATTTATGGGAGCAGAAAGGTACCAAGCCCTGCATTGTGACTGGAGATGTTCTCACAAGGTTCCCAGAGGAGTCTGTGGCTGTTCCTCCAAGGCATCCTTGCTTTTGTGCCAGGTACTGTACAGACATTCCTGCACCCCAAGATGCTCCTACTCACATGAAGTGTCTGGTGCTGAGACTCTTGCAATGGAAGTCCAGGGGAAAGCCGGGCCCAACTCCTTGTCTCCAAAATCCCAGGTAATATTTTGTATTTCAGTCTTCCCTTTCTGAGCATCCCTTCCAGTGGCAGTGACATCTCCAGTGTGTTTGAGGTTTGAGCTGGCACCAAGAGCAGCTCAGCCCCCTGGCTGAAGGTGCCAGTCTGCCATCCTCAGCTGGGAGTAACTTGCAGAGAAAAGAAAGATCTGCAAAGTCTCCTCTGGGCAGCAGGAAAGAGACTCAGAGCCGTGAGACTGAACACCCAATGGATGTGGAAGGGGTGGCAGCTGGTGTCAGACAACACTTGGTGAGACAGCTCAGAGTATTGAACTTGCTCTTGCTGAGTACCTGCAGTTTGCCTCATGCACAAGTCCTGATCCAGGTGCACAGGTACATGAAAATGTGTTGAGAGCATCTTACCTACATGAGGGCAGAGCCAAAAATGCCTTGTTTGAGCAATCCACAGCCTCAGCTTCTGACTTGGAAGAAAAGGAGTTTTATCATCCCTTTTTTCCCTCCTTGGAGGTCAAGGACTCAGGCACCCACCACTAAGAGAGAAGAGCAGCATCTCAGAGGAATCAGGCAGCCACATCCTTTTCTCCTCCTGGAGTTACTCAGATGCACTTTCTGCACATCCCCAGCCTGTGCCAGCCCCTCCAGCAGGCACCACAACTGCTTTGGGTCTCACACAACCTTACTTGGCAGTGGTGGTTCAGCCTGACCTCCCTGCCAGGCCACTTGTCCTGGACACAACCACGTTCATTTTAGAGGGACTTCTTTGTGGGGGAGACTTTGTGACCCCAAAACCAGGATCCAACACTGCTTGTGCCACCCATCTGTGTCAGGAAAGCAACTCCTTATCCTCTGGGAAGGGCACTAAAGGCACCATGCACGCAGAGGAGAGCTGTCAGGAGGCTCTGGTGGCTCCCCCACCTGTGAAAATTGCTGTAAAATATTTACGGCAAAGCCCTAGGAGCACGCACGGCTGGAAATGAGGAGTCTAAAAATAAACCAGCCAGGGAAAAAAGAGAGAGATGCAGGCTCCCTTCAGAGGCAATTGGAGAGAAAATTGAAGTAGCGTAACTGCCTCTAAATATAGAACACAATTATGGGAATCAAGGGGCACGTTTAACAAAAAAAGCACCACAAAGAATCCTGAGGCTGCCATGGCTCATAGCTAGTGGTGTCTCAGCAGATGCAGAATATCACAGATCCCTGCAAACCATGGAGCAGGGAAATATCCCCCTGTGCAGGGCAAATCCACAGCTCCTCTCTCCCTCAAGGGACCCAGAGAGATTCCTGGTGGGGACCAGCTGCATTGAGCACACCCTGAGGTGTGGCCACGTGGTTGTTGTGCATGGAGACCCAAGAGCTGCACCTGCTTGTAGTGCAGATGCTGCTGTGCCAGCCTTGGGGGGGCTTCTCCACGAGTGGAGCTCACAGATCCTGAGGAGAGCCAGGCAGGGAGATGGGGCTGCTTTGGGAAGACAAAGGCACCCAATCTCTCTCTTCCATGTGTCTGGTTTCCCCAGGGATCAGCCTTGATGATCATCCACACGTGTCCCTTCCAAGGGGTGGGGTGTTCTCTGCCCATTCCTGTCCATCTCACCTTTCTCCAGGAGCCACTGGAGGAGCTGAGATGGACCAAAGGCAATGGGGAGCTGGGGCATGGCCCAGGAGGAACAGGAGAGTGGAAAGCTGCCCTGCTGCCTTCGTCCAGTGAGGCTGGGGCTGCACAGAAGTGGGACATGATATGTCCAAAGGCAAATGTCACCCAAATCAGGACTTTTATCACCCAAATCACCACCTTTATCCCAGGTCTAACACCTCCTTTGCACATTGCTCTTGGGTGGGCAGGAGGGCAGGGTCCTTCAGCCTTTAACCTCTGGGAAACCAGGGCTGAGATGCCTTCATTCAGGGTGGAGTGCTGAGCCCTCTGGTGTGTCCGGAGGTCCCACAGGACATGCAATGAATGTTTGGGGTGGCCTGTGACACAGCTGGGTCAGCTCCAGGGCAATGGGCATCCTGGGGGGGTTGGAGCAGGAGAAGCCCAGGCTGTGGGTGTGCTTAGCCTGGCCTCCAGCATGGGCAGCACTGTGAGGGCTGGGCAGTTCTCTCACAGCTCTGGGCATTCATAGAATCATAGAATGATTTGGGTTGGAAGAGACACTAAAAATCATCAAGTTCCAACCAGATCAGTTCGTTCCAACCTCTCCATCTCAATAGGATTGACTCAGTGTAACAGATCCCTCTCCTGTTGAGTTCAGCTGGGGCTTTTGGACAGTGTTCATGTCACTGAGCAGGAACAGGGGAGTGAGTTCTGAGCTGGGTGGGCGCCACCTCAGGGCCTGTGCTCCTGTGACCACACCACAATGTCAGTGAGTCCCTACATGGGGTGGCCAGAGGCACAGATTTCCTGTGGAGGAGCTGAACAAGGGCCCTGTTCTGTGGGTGGGTTAGCGCTGCAGGGCAGCACAGCACTGCCAGGGTTGGACCCAACACATCTCCACTCCACTGAAGCCACTAAATAGGTGCCAGGCCACAGCACATGCCAAGCATCCTGACCTCTCCTGGCACATTTGGAAACTTCCATGGTTCAAGTGAAGGGGGATCTCCTGATCTGCAGTAGGAAGAGGAATGGCACCCCCAGAGATGTGTGGGTAGCAGTCACTCACCTCAGTGAGCCTCCACTCCTGAGCCCTGCAGGGAAGGTCAAATGTCCATGCCAGGTAGAAAAACACCCAGCTATGGGTCTTTATGGGCATAAAGATCTTTACTGCACCAGAGCATCTGTCATATGAGGAAGGGATGAGGGAGATGGAACTGTCCACCCTGGAGAGGAGAAGGCTCAGGGGGACCTCATCCATGTGTATAAATACCCAGTGGAAGGCAGTGAAAAAGAGGGAGTTGGACTCTTCTCAGCAGTGCTCAGGACAGGAGGCAATGGGCCTAAAATAGTAAATGAGGCAAAGGGCCCAAATTAAAAATTAGCAAATCCAGTTTGTGTGGGAAATGGATTTGTAAAGAGTTTTCAGGGTTTGATAGAAGGCCTACACAGTATGAATCTGTATGCAAACTTTGAGAGAAGAAACGCCAATTTGAATACAAGAAGACAAATTTTTGCTTTGGGAGGGGCAAAACACTGGCAGAGGTTACCCAAAGAAGTTGTGGTACTGCCATCCCTGGAGATACTCAAACCCTGACTGGACACAGGCCTGGGCAGCTGACTCTGGGTGAGCTGGTGGAGCAGGAAATGTGGAAAAAATCTCTTCCAGCCTCAACCGGTCTGTGATTCTGTGTATGGTGCCTGTCACAGCTCCCTATTTGCCCCCCAAAGGGCCTGAGATTAATGCAGCCCACAGCTTGTTATTTCTTATTTTATTTATAATATAAAAAATGTTCAAGTGTTAAACAGTCAAGAGTTCTGACATTCAGACAATCCAGAGCAAACTTTGACAATCATCTTATGACAAATTAGCAGTTTTCTATCTGACCCCATCGCGGGTGAGGAATAGAGGGTTTAGTTACTTTATTGCTAAAAGTTAAATGAAATAATACACTGTCAATTGTTGTATTATCTTCTCAGTCACAGCTTCACCATGCATCCAATCTACAGTATCTGAAATGCAAAGGACATGCAGAAGTAAAAATATAAAAAGAAAAAAGTCAGGCTACAATGTAAACAGGTTTGCTGCAGAGAACTGAGGAGAGGGGGGCACTTCCACGGGGGATGCTGTGCCGCCTGGACACGCAGGACTGTCTCTTTGCGCCACAGAGCCGATGGCCAGAGCTGCTCCGGGTCTGGGGACGCGCCGTCCGTCACCGATGGCGGGAGGTGACGGCACCAACTGTCCTTACAACACACGTGGCCCGGCCGTAGGGTGGATCCGCTCGCTGGGCCCCCCAGCAGGGCCCTGCCCGGCCACGGCAGCGGAGCCCAGAGCGCTCGGGGCCCTGCTGGGCACACGGCCTGGCGCCGTGTCCAGGGTGACGTGCGGCCGTCTGCACCGCAGAACCACCCAGTGGGTGTCCCCCGGCACCCCGGCCAAGGGTGTCACCCAGGACACCACAGCTCCAGCCATGGCTGCACCGCTCAGCCGAGGGACGCCGCGGCCTGCACGGCGCCGGGGCGGCCACGGGCACCGCGGCTGAACGGGGCTGGCTCAGCCACCCGGATTCAAGGGGACGTGACAGGTGTGATCCACCACGGGCACAGGGCTGCCTGCCTGGCTTCACTACAAACCTGTGCCAACCCCACTCCAGACCCACCGGTGAGATGGCCAAAGGTTGAGAGCTATATTGTAAGGGCTGCTGCTGCTGCGCGATTTTGTTTTCTCTTCCTACCTGTGTGGCAAAAGAAACATTATTTCTGCATTTCAGCACAGTGCTGTTGGGTTTCTTTTTCTCCTGATTTAAGCGAAAATACAAGTAGTTTACAGGGCAAGACAGATCCTCGTTAGACATGATAATGGAAATGCTCCCACTCATGTCCTTAATGTGTGTTTAAACAATACTTTAAAGAATAAGATCATTAATAGCAGGGTACGGGGCAAGTGGCAAGGCTGTTTTCTTCCAACAGAAGAGCGCCCTTGTGACAGGTTGTCTCCCAAACAAAAATCTATGACCTTAAAAATGCTACTGAAACAGAATCCTCGGCATGAATCCCAGCACTAGCATACAGCAAAAGGCACCACGATAGTTTTGTTTTCTATTTTTAAGTAGTCAAAAATTGGCCCACTTTTTTTTAACTTTATTGTTTGTTTTCTTTTCTTCTTCTTTTTTTTTTTTTTTTTTTTTTTACTTTTTTTTCTCGGAAGCTGTAAATCAAGACATTACATATAAATAGAGATTCCCTATAAAAAAGTCATTGTCATTAGCTATTATAAGACAACTTTGCTAAAATGAAAATAAAACATTTTTATTTGTTATATTTTTTGTTTTTCCCTCTTTTATATAAAATAAAAATATTTATTTTTTTGTTTGTTTTTTTTTTTTTTGTTCTGTTTTGTCTCGTTCTGCGGTTTGCGTGGTTTTGTCTCGCCCTCGGCCTGCTCCACGTGGGTCGCCCGTGCGCGGGAGGTGCCTAGAGAGGGTCGGGGTCCGCTTTGGGCGCCACGTGCGCCAGGCTGCCGCGGCCGCCGTCGCCGTGCGCGCTGTGCCCGCGGCACGAGTAGTGAGTCCGGCTGTCGCCCGGCCGGTGCAGCGGCGGCGACTCCGCGTGCGCCGCCTCATTGTTCTGAGTGCTTAGGAACGGCGTGCTCTCGGCCACCAGCTCCTCGTCAGACTCGCTGTAAGAGGCGCTGCTCAAGGAGAACGAGTCCCGCACGGCTCTGGCTCTGTGAGGGATGTGCCCGTTCAGTTTGGATTTTTTCCACCGCCTGTTGCTGCTGGCTGTTTTCTTTGGCTGCTCTAGCGCTGTGACGTACTCCTGCGTCGTCTCGTACTCGTCGTCCTCCGTGATGCGGAAGGGGCTGGAGGGCAGGCTCCCCATGCTGTCGTTTAGGTAGGTCTTCCTTTGGTAGTAGCTGTCGTACCTCTGCGTGTCCTGGAAGGGGAGCTGGTACCGCCGCAGGAGGGGCTGCTGCTCCTCCACGCGGAAGCTGATGGGGGCCGCCGGCGGCAGGGACACGGCGTGCGCCGAGTTGGGGGACGTGATCTCGAAGGTGGGCACCTGCGTGGTCATCGAGTAGTGGAAGTCAACGGGAGACAGGCGTGCTGGTGTGGTCAGGGCCGACACGTACCTGGAAAAGCAATGCCTCTGTTTGGACACCGAACAACCCAAAAAGCACCAGCTGAGCCCACCCTTTGCTGGGCTAGCCTAGAACACCTGGCCCAGGGACCCAGGAGGCCTCCTGCAAGACTAGAATGTGACAAAGAAGTCAGAGGAAGGTGGGAGTCCCAAAAGCTAAGGTAATCCACGCATGTGAATTACCAGCTGCTGCGTGCCGTCTCTGACCGTCGTGGGAGACAAACACATGGGGCACCACCTGTAAGAACTGTGTCTGGGTGGGCTGTGGGGGTCCACTGAGGCTAGCTATGGACCCCAGCCCACACAGTCTTACACAGAGCTAAGCAAAAGACTGGAAGCGCTCTAACCCACGTGGAAACCTACGTGGTTTGTTTATATCCAAGGTGGGCAAGAGGCCATGTACTCAGGGCAGGAGACTTTTATACCCAGGGAGAATGGGGAATGGAGGAGGAGGAGGACCACAACCAATGGGATACAAGTGGGGAGGGGCAGGGGGAAGGACTGACCAGGGAAGAGACCACCAGGGAGTATTGGGGGAAGAACAAACCATGTGATATAGCATAAATTATATAAACTATTCAGTGCAATATAAAGACTACTCTGTGCAAATCTCTAACAACCCAGTGCAAAACAACAACTAAATAAACTATTTAGTGCAATAGAACAGCCTCCAGTGAACCTGCTCGTGGAAATTCTCCTGGGGAATCAGCTGGAGGGACCTTGCACTGCTGAGCCAGGGGAGGGTGAGCTGCTGGCTTCAATGGGCAGCATGTGCTGAGCATCCCCCAAACTGCTTCTCCCAAGGGACTCGGTGCACAATTCCCACTCTGCATCGCTGCAAACCCTGCAGCATCTCCCAGCAGGCTGAGTCATGGCTTCACTGCCTCTCATCTGCCTGACAGCTGCTTTCTGTTCCCTCTGGAGCTGCCAGGCTTGTCTCTGAGGAAGGTCCCTGGAATTCCCTCTTCCTGCTCAGGCCACGGATGGGGAAACCCTGGGCATTGCTTTCTCTGACTTAGCAAAAATCTTATGTCTCTAAAAGCCATCTACCAGTTTCACGTAGTGAAAACATCAGTGTGGTCACTCAGGTCTGGTCTAGCCCTTTTTTCAGCACCACCTCTTTCTAAGGAGCAGATCTTATTTCCTCTTGATATTCCCAATGGTATCTCTGCTCACTTCCACCAGCCCAGGCCCTCTCACTCACCCAGGCCTTTTTACTCATGTGTTTTGTGATGTATGAGATCTCCATAGGAGCTGGGTCAGTCTACCTGAATAGACCAGGGACAGGAATGAGAGCAGGAGATGCTGCCTTTCTCCTCTGCCCCATGGATAAGCTCCACTTCCTTGGAGGGCAACTGCCCAAGAGGGGCCATGTGGCCACCAGGAGTCACTCATGGCCACCTACAAAGGGCTGGAACAAAGGTGGAGATGTGCTTCTGCTCCATGAGGAACCAGACTGGGAAGAGGACAGCTGCTACTGCTGCTGTTGGTGTCTCAGCTCTGCAGCTTGTGTTCCTTGAAGGCTGGAACCTACCAAGTCCTGTCCCAAGGTTGTGCCCACGTGCAGCACCCTCTCACCTGGCCATCCAGGACAGTGCTGAGGACAGACACCTTTTCCCCAAGCACTTGAGGGCCAGACCCTGCTTGGCAGCCCACCAAGCTGCCCAGGGTGTTTTCTCAGCCAGTTTTTCTCTGCAGTTGCTGACTGCAGCCAGGCATATTCCACACCCATCATCCCTATGCTCCAAACCTACATTGCCACCAGGGTGCAGAGCTGGCTGCTGCCCGACCAGAGGGAATTGGGCCTCCTCTGGTAGGACCAGAGCTGGAGTTCCCCAGTTCTACCATGGCACCGCCACTCTAGGGCGGGCAAAGGCAAATGTTTTTGGGCTTGGCACAGAGGCATGGCTTGCCTCTGCCGTGCTGTGGGGGCAGCAAGCAGTGGGCTCTGACCTCTCGCTGTGGGGCGAGTCGCGCAGGGAGTCCACGGAGTCGCGGTACTGCGTCGTGGGCCGCCGCTGCTCCTCCATGCAGAAGGTGGCCCCGCGCCGCGCCCGCGCCTCCACGCACGCGGGGCTGTTGCATTTGCTGGTTCCCACCGAGGACAGCATTATCCCAGACTGGGAATCTGAAGTCAGGCTCTCAGTTCGCTCCAAGCTCCAGGTGTGGCTTTCATGTCTGCGGAGCAAAGCCCATGTGGACAGTGAGCAAGGAACCCCCACCCAGCTCTTCTCCAAGGACGCGGGCACTGCTCACGCTCAGCTCTGCACCTCTGCACTGCTGTCCCCTGTCACAGACATCTTTTATGAAAAATCCTTTCCTTGGGATTTTTTCTCCTGAGAAGCTGAGAAGCCTTGAGAACAAAATGTACCCAATGGTTATCTGCTGCCGTGGGATGCAACAGGTGCATCTGGGATTGGGCTCATGTGGTTGTTTCTAATTAATGGCCAATCACAGTCAGCTGGCTCAGACTCTCTGAGAGACACAAGCTTTTGTTATCATTCCTTTCTATCCCTTTCTTTTCAAGCCCTCTGATGAAATCCTTTCTTCTATTCTTTTAGTATAGTTTTATTATAATATATATCATAAAATATTAAATCAGCCTTCTAAAACATAGAGTCAGATCCTTGTCTCTTCCCTCTTCCTGGGACCCCTGTGAACACCACCACAGTCCCCCTTCTTTCTCTCTCTCATTAGGACACATCTGGCCAGGGAAGCCCAGATTCCCAACCCTACCTTTGATTTGCCATTCTTTTCTCCTTCTTGGAGATGCCATTAGAGGACAAAGGAAGCAAACCAGTGCAATAGCAGGTATTTATCCCACCACAGAGGAATACATGCCTGGGAGCAGGATGGGACAGCCTCTGGAGGGAGGCCAGGACAATTCTGCTTCGTGCTTGCAAAGTGTTCTGGGTGTGGAATAATAACATATTGGCTATGCCAAGGCAAGTCAGCCAAGGTCCTTCAAATGTGCCACCTGCACTGCCAAGTGACAGCTCCTTTGGAATTGCTACCAGAGAGGAGCCAGGAGAAGCCACTCAAAATGAGTTTAGTAAAGTCTACCAAAGATTTTGGCAGGAAAACATTGTCAAGGTGTTAGACAAAGACCATGATGTGCTGAAAACACTTTCAAGGTGCTAGACAAAGACCATGATGTGCTGAGCAGCTGCAGCCCTGCCAGCCCCAGCCTGGGTGCAAAGAGAGCATCCCACGAGGACTCACTGGGGATGCACAGGGCCACCTGCACACTGAGGCCATGCCACGGCCACCATGCTGACCCCCACCATGGCAGAAACACACGATCCATGAGAGCAACCTCTCTGAACTCCCAAGCTGCAGATGGAGCTGCGTGGGTGGAGGATTTTGGGTGGGGGTTTACAGAGGAGAGCAGCCCTCATTAAGATTTCCCAAGAACTTGTTAATTATTGATGGCTCCAGGCACATGCTCATTTATAACTTCAAACAGCGTCCTCATTAGAGGCACTGATGGAGTAAAATGGAGCCTGATTATGCCAGTAGTTTGCCTCTGGCATGACTTCAAGAAGCACCTGCTTGCTGCACTTGACTCAGGAAAATGAGGTGGCAGGTAGCCAGGACCAGAGGCTACCCAAGGTAGGTTCCTCCCTACAGCTGTCATGAGCTAATGCTGCCCTCCAGACACACCTCTGTGTCTTCAGAAGGTGCCCAGGGATGGCTCAGGCCTTCTAAGTGAGCATGGAAGGCCAGCAAGGTGCAGCTCTGCAGGCACAGGAGCCTCTGTGCATCAAGCTTGTACACACCTAGCCAGGGCTGGGCTGAGGAGCATGAATGCAAAAAATCCTAGAGAACATACTGTCTGACTCATGAGGAGTGGATTTCCCTGGAAAAAGAATCATTCCCAGCCCATCAAGTCATTCCTGGCTCCCTCTCTACTTGCTGGAGGTAAAGCCAGAGGAATCTGGGGAGGAATTCACCTGAAAATCCAAGTTCAGCATCTGAAGTTGATCTTGCCCCTTGTAACTGAGAGTACTTGCTCAACCCTGAGGAATGCCCGGGCCCTAAGGAAACCTGCCTGGAGCCATCTGTGAGCTTCAGCTGAAAGAATTCCTGCATTCCCAGATGAATGGAGACAACCCCATCAGGCTAATGAAGGACATGAGCCAGTCACCTATCAAAGGCAAGAGATCTCCAAGGAAAATCCCTGTCACCCACTGGAAAAAGCACAAGAGCTGTCTAAGAGGAGGAACTGGAACATCCAAACTCAAAACAACACAGGAGTTTCTTTAGAGCATTTGAAAGAAAGACTTTTTTGGACATCACAAAAAGAGGGAGGGACATCTGCAATTTAAATGTTCTAAGAAGCCTTGAGAAGATTCAGGTTCCAGGCCATGGTGTTCTTCCCCCAGTGGTTATTTCGAAATGAAAACAAAAAATTGTCAAAAAGCACTATTGGTACTTTCCTGCTAAACCAAGTTTTCCAAAAAGCTTCAGAATGACTTCCAGTGAAAGAGGAGCCACCACCTGAGGTGGAGGCTGATAAATTGCACAGGAGCATTTTCTTTCTGGTCAAAACCTGTGACTTCCAAGTCAGACCTTGACTCTGAGGAAGCAATCAAAACATTTGGTGATATTTTGTGTAGTTTGTCTCCCACAAGGCAAATACATTCTAAATATAAAACACATAACCCTGTGTGCTTAATGAAGTATTTCAGACACAACCTGCAAAACCTTTCCTACACACATCCTCCTGTTTGGGTCTGTGCAAAGCATGGATGCACAGGCTCATTTCCTCCTGTTTTCCAGCTATGTCAGTGCTGCAGGATCCTGCTGGCACCCTCCTGCAGGTCAAGGAACACACTTTTCCACACCTCTCACTAACCAGCTGTGCTTGCAGAGTCCTGCAGTGTCGACATGGCCTGTATGCCACTACAGAGACAGACATCAAGTGAAAACAGAAAGGGAGGCGAAAGGAAAATCTTAGAATCTCACAGCATCCTACAGCAAATAGCAGGAAAAGGTCCATAGAAAATGGAGTACATCACCTCTGGCTGGAGGTTGGAGTGGCTGTGGAGCAGTGATGGGACGGGGAGCAGGAGTGACTTCCCGAGAAGGTTGTCTCTGTTTCCCTTCGGATCACGTGCTCAGTGGCAGAAACATTCTTAGAAATATACTGCAAAATAAGAATCACACAGATCAGCCACCATTCATCAGTCTGTGAATGCTGCCAAAGAAAAATTTAGCTGGCCTGATTATTTCTGGTGAAATCAGGTGAGGACTGAGTGAACCCAGAAGCTCCGCACCCACAGGAAGGGACAAGGAGGGTGGAGCCTTTTTTCTGCCCCTTCACTTTGAACACTTGGAAAGGGCTGTGGCACAGGGATTGCAGAAGGGTTTGGAGAGCCAAGGGATTCCCCAAAGGACAGTGGTGCCATGTGTAGCTACTGAGCAGAGACACATCTCTGCCCACAGCTGGTTACAACCGACCGAGTACCAGCAAAAAGAGAACAACGTGAAATCTGTCAGAGATGTGAGTCCTACAGAAACTCCAGATGTGATCCAAGTATTTATGCTGAGATATCCTTCATCTGACAACCAGCCCTGCTTCTCACAGGGGCACTAAGCTCTCTGAGAGAGTCAGTACTGTGGGGCCAGGGGCTGTGGTTCTTAGAATTCCCTTTCCCCTTCCTTCATGGTTGGGATCCAACCTAGCTAAATGTTAATATCCTAAAGCTGACCCAACAGAGCTTGCAGCTGATTCATTGGATTAATTTCTAACTACTTCTTGTTTGGCTCTGCCTCCCCCTTCCCTTTTTCTGACCCCTTTCAAGGCCTTGGTCCAGCAAGGCACTTCAGCCCATTGATGGCTCTTGAGTTCGCGGGGTTTGATGGGAATCTTGTACAACCAAAGTCACAAGAGTGGCTGAACTGCCCTCTGGATCGTGTCCTAGAGAGACTTAGATTGTTCTCATTGGTGTGACAGTGGCATCCCACCAGGACAGAACCCCTGGCATGGGCAGGTGGGCTGATGGACAGCTGACCACATCACCATGATGTGTTTCACCACAGAGACTCCAGCCACAGCCATGCTGATCCCATTTGTCATCCCACCAAGTGGGACTTGACAGGATAGAGTAATAAACAGGAAACATTGGGAACATCTCTCCTAGTGGGAATCAGGGTCACACTTGATTAATCAAAACAAGCCTATCCCAAATGCCTGAATCTCATCCTGTACTTCAAAGCAAAATCACATTCCCCTTCAGATGTTGGTTTTGGAAATGTTTCTATGCAGAATCTTTCCTTTTGCTCAAGTTTGTTTGGGCTTTGCTCCTCACACACAAGCACACAGGTGTGTAAGGATACACATCCACGTCAAACCCCTGGCAGAACACATCCCCTCAGGAGCATGCAGGGAGATGGAGGCAAAGGCTCTTACATCAGCCATTTGGATTTCCTCAGGATCCAAACGTGGATGGCTTGGCCCGTTCGCAAGGCTCCGGTTTTGATGAGCAGGACACATGTTCTGCCGCAAGTGGTTATGCATTTGTTTTCTTTGTTTCCTTTAGAACAGAAAAAATCTATTAGGAGCCCTTCTCTCATGGGGCTCTGTGCCCCCAGGGATGAAAGAGAAGGCAAGTCCTCAACAGTGAATGTTCCAATGTATTTGCAGAAAGTTGCAAACAACACGAAACAAGGCATTCAACACTTAACACCTCCTACTGCTTTTCCAAACAAAAGGTCAACTTTTCTTCTCATGGACAACTTGGGAAGCTGGGTCCAGGGTCCCCTTTCCAAGGCAAGGCCCAGCACAATGTAGCAGAGCCTGCTGGCAGTGGAGGAGAAGAGTGGGGAGAAGGAGAAGGGGAAGTGAGTCCTGACTCAGCCTTGGTGACAAAGCACTTGACCCGTCCTGCATGAAGGACAAAGTGGCAAAGCCTGCCCAGGGTGAGGCATCTGCTCCACAAGACCCACTGACTGCAGGGGCACTCTGAACTGAGGTGCAGGCTGAGTAGGGAGAAAAGTGCAGTCCAGGCAGGGAAGGCTGACCATAAAAGAGGTTCCCAGGTCTCCTGTTCCATTAGGATTGCTCTGGAGGTCCCTGAAATGTACATAGCTGAGCCCACAGCTCCTGCACAATAACCCAGTGTGCTTCTGCTGGCAGAAGCTGAGCTGCTGGCTTGGGGGCCAGCTTTTCCCTGTAACACAGCATCACCTGGCTGGGCAAAATGGTGTTCCAGGGGACAAGCAAATGGTGCCAGGAAAAAATCCTATTCAGACACAGTCTGGTAGGAAGCTTCCCTGGCCTCCTGCATGAGACCTTCCTGGGAGTACCACAGCACATCATCTCCTAAAATTAGCATTTGGGTGAAAAGCATGGACATGTGGAACATGAACAGTGGCACTCACTAACCTGTAGGCAGTTCTTGCCTGTGAGCCCCCCATACTCACTTGGTTTTACAGTAAGCTACCACACAGACGATGCCCACCACAAGCAAGGCAACACAGATTCCCGTGATGGTTAAAACCCTCTTCTGGTAGAGCTCCTCTGCTTCTGCAAATGGAGAGAAAGGAACCAGTTACTGATGGGCTCCAGCACCTGGGCTGCTTCTGGCTGCAGGGGAACCAGCACTGCATGGGGGTGAGACAGAGGACAGGGCTCGGGCAGATCTCCTACCAATCCTCCTACCAATCCCCTGCCTGCCTAATGGCTGCCCCAGCCCTGAGCCCAGCTGGCCCAACCTTCCTCACCCCTCCAAAGACCCTTTTTGTCTCCCTGTGCCTTTGCCTTCTCTCATTTGGTAGCTCACCCCTTCTGCACTCACACTTCTCACCTTCCCTTCCTTTCCCACAGTGGCCAATCTCACAAAGCCCCACGACTCTCCTCTCCCTTCCAGCAGATCCCCCCTCTCTGGTGCCTTGACCAGCTGGCCCTGGAGCATGCCCCACTGCCCAGGAGCACACACAGGAGCCCTGTGATCCCTGACCCCAGGCTCAGGATGCCTCTGCCTCCAGCAGCTGCATGCCCTGGAGCAACAGGCCCCAAAGCATGCAGGTGCTGAAAGGGACATCCTGGAACAGTCAAAAAGCAGCATGAGGATGGAAAAGTGATAGTGTGTCAGGCAAAGAAAAGGGAGTGGAGTGATTAAAATAGAGGAACCAGTCATGGATTCTCAATGGAACCCTAGGAGGAGATTGATACCATTGCATCAGGCAGCTCAGAGGCACACACAAAATGTAAGCAGCTTGCTGCTGCCCCTCAAACACCACCAAGTGTCACAGGCTGCCTGTCAAACCAGAAGAGCCAGCCACAAAACCCAGACCAGGCTGGAAGGGAGTGATTGATTCCCATCCACCAAAGCTCCCAGGAGATGCTCAGATCTCGTTTGCACTGCACCCAGGCAGCAACAGCATGGCCAGGGCACCTCCTCCTTCATGGCTACACCAGAGCTGATGTGACATCCAACAACCCCTGCCAAGAGCAGCAGAGGCAATTTGGGTTCTCCAGCTGGATGACTGAGAGAAGGATTCAGTGCAGAGCTGCCATGAGGGTTTCAGCTCAGCAGCTGTGAACAAAGTCCTCATGTCCCCACACTATCTGGTAATGTTAAACTTATTGGGGTTTGTGCCTTTAATATTCATTAGGGTTTTTTTTCTTTCCCATTTAGATTAGCAATAAAAGTCATGCCATGGTTGATGTGCTCAGTGTGCTTCCCCACACTGCTCAAAATACCTTGAACAGACCATGTTCCACCCCCTGTGCCACCAAACACTCAAATACAAAACCAGAAGACAAACAGGTCTGGTCCCAGAAATCCCTGGGACTAGACTTTAGCAAAAAAAGTGAGTGGGAATGAAATATTCCAGACAACTGGATATTTAGAACAATTTCACCTTGCCATTCTAGGCTGAAAAAAACATTTTTGGAGAAAACAAAATTGGTGCTAGGAAAAATGGTTACCTCTTTTTAACTCTCAAAATGGAAATGGACAAAGGTTTGGTAGACAAGGACTGGCAAAAAAAAACCAACCCTGGCATGAAGATGCAAAATATAATAAACAAAGCTTTCCTGAGGGGCTTTTTTCCCCTACAAGGAACCAGGTGGAGCTGGAATGGGGGAAGAGCCCACCCTGGGGTGAAACTCCTCCTTCAAGGACATGTTTCTTTGGAATGGGTGCTTTACCCAGCATCAGCAACCATGGCAGACACAATTTCTTGCTCTTGCACATCCTTTGGACCTGGATTACAGTTGTACAGCTCCCTCCTTCACACAGGAGTTTCAGAGATTTTATATAAATTAGGGAAAACAGTTGGGATCACATCCTGGTTATGGATGGCACTGGGCAAGAATTTTGCTACTTCTCAGCAAAAACTACTTTAACCAATAAAAAGAAAAATAAAAAAGGCTAGGAGAGTGGTCAGTTTTCAGCAAAAATCCTTCAATAGCAATGCTTTTTGCTACAAAGACTTTAGCCCCTAAGCAGAAATCATTCCCTTTGAATCATGGAGGAGGAAGAAAGAGCAAAGACATTAAAACTATGGGGGTGGGAGGGTTTGAGGGTTTGTTTGCTTTTTTTTCGTTGTTTTTTTGGGGGTTTTGTTTGTTTATTTGGCTGGGTTTTTTTACCTATAACAGGACAAAATTCTTTGGCCAAGGCTCAAATCCCAGCCTTGGTTCTGGTGGTCATGTCAGCATGGCACCCTGACTCTGGCATGTCTGACTGGCCTGAACCTTCACCTGAATTGCAGGGGAATGTTTCAGCTCATCAGAAACGCAGATTTGGCCTCTCTGCCTCGAGCTGACAGCTCTGCTACACGAAGCAGTGAAGTGTGAGGCTGTGCATCACTGCTGCAAACTAAAAATTGAATGATCTGCTGATAGTAATTTAGCTTGGCTCCCAACATCTCATTAAAGCTGATGCTCAATAACAGTATCTTCACATTGTGTGACCAGAGAAACAGTATTGAGAAATTTCTCCCTCTTCAACAGAAGGGGGGAGTGGCCCAAGCAACACCTCAGATGAGGCTGAGCAAAGCTTTATATGTTTTTAATTTTTTGAATAGCTCATTTGCAGAACATAATCCTCCAATTTTTAGGCACTTTTCAAAGAGCACACAGGCAAAATTGAAAGAAAACCCTCCAGTTTTAATCAGAGACAGGACAAATGGAAGGACCATTTCCACTAATCACTTGGGGCAAAACCACCTCAACAGCACCAGAAAGGAAATGAGAGAGTGCACGCTGCAGGTTTGTATTTGAGCAGGTAAGATCCCAGAGCAGGTCCATTCGTGTCTCTGTGCTCTACAAACACATCTTCAGCAGCAGCACCATCACTTGAACAGCAGCAGACACTGAGAACAAACCATGTGGGGCCACACAATGCCAACAGAGCCACGGGGCAGCCATGGTGTCACAGCAGGGCATGGCAGTGACAGACAAATGGCAGAGGAGAGACGCTGCAGACGGGATGGGTGTGCTTCTGTGGGGACATGGAGAATGGATGGGGAACAGGACAAAAGGTCAACAAAAAAGGGATGTCAAAAATCCTCAATTTGAAGGTTTGTCCAAGTGTATTGGCATTAGCAGCACCACTTTCTCTGAAGCTCCCTGACTATAAAATTCCCACCTTTTCTGCTCCAGGGGGATCAGGCATGCCAAAACTGGAGGAGATACATTTCTGCAGCCTCAGCTAGTCAATGTCCCTCCACCTCAGGGACCTTACAAGGCAATTTAGGATCCACAACTGGAAGACTGGTGTCCTCATACCTCTAGCAAAGGGAATTGAAGCATCTTTGTGTGAAGATCTGCTCTGGTTGACACTGCCAGGCCAATGCTTTTAGTTTAAGTGATCAATCATAGAATCATCACAGAATCCTTGAATGGTTTTGGTTGGAAGGGACCTTAAAACTCATCTTGTTCCAATGCCCTTGCAGCATCCCAGGCTGCCCAACCCCTCTGCTCCCTCCTGACCAGCCCTCCCTGCTCTTGGCTTCCACCCTCCAGGGAAAACTTGCCTCAAGGATTTGATTTCCCAAGTGCTTATTCAAGGGACAACTTGATATATATCTAAAGGCAGACTGAGGAGAATGGAAAGAAAATAATATGATTATGAGTAACTGGGCAGGAGCAGGTAAATGCCCAAAGGGGATATTTTTAAAAGCATTTAACTCACTGCAGTGTTTTCCCAAGCTTGCCACTGGGGTGCTCAGCATTACACCCTCCACTCTCATGGGCACTTACTGACTTCCCTGGGATACTTTTCTAGACTAACTTGTCTCTTGCCATCTTTCTTGGCCCAATTTTATCCTGCTCAAGAACCAAAAGGAGCTGCTAAATTTGGAGATGAGAAATGGCAAAGCTCATCCTGACCCTTTGCAGGATCTGGTGGAGGTTAGTGTGACTGGGATGGCAACTTCTATAACAGCCCTGATATTTCTAGAACTTCTCTTCCCATTCCTGGAATTCCTGCCTGTCCCCAAGCAGTAGCCACTGGCAACTTTTTGGATGGACACAAGACCCCAGCTTTTCAGTTAAATACACAAAAGCATGTTGAATGGAGATGTATGGCAATTGTAACATCCCAGTCATGCCACACACACCACGCTGCTGCTTGGAACAAAGAAAAAAGTGCTGCTAAAAATACACCTGCAATTTCATAGGTTTGCATTTAGAATTTGTGATTTGCTTTGTTTTGGTTTTGGTTGTTGTTTTGTTTGGTTTTTGGTTGTTTTTTTTTTTTCAATCCAAACATCTATCTTCGTGCCAGGGAAGAGAACAGAACAGCTGATTTTTTAATCATCCCATTAAAGCCATAAATATAATGTTGGAAGCTCTTAATGGCTTCTGATTAATAAATGAATGGTTGTTCCATACCCTTTAATTCAAATCCAAGATGCTCTGCCAATGCAGAAAGAAGACAAGGAAGAGAAAGAGAAAAAGAAAAACAGGTCTGTCAGAGAACTCTAAAATACAAACACACACACTGTGCAGTTACAGCAGGTTAGCTTTGGTAGGCTCAGCAGCACTCACACAGAGACACTGTATGCTTCAGAGCATTTCAAACCCCCACCACAACTCACATGTTATGCAAAGAAAGACCCAAACAAATTGCAGTGGAAGTTAATTATGAATTCTTTCAGTTAATTATGAATTCTTTCGAGATGAGCCATGTTTGTTAGTACCTGATATGGAATTCACTGTTTAGGCAGGGGAAAAAAAAAAAAAAGAAAAAAAAATAGGAAAGGTACACTTGTTCTGAAACAACTCCTGACAGGTCAAAACACATAGAGACTGCATGAGCCTGGTGAAAACCATTCATTCCCTTTCCCCAGGGCAGATCTGCCCTGGCTGGTCCCCCACGCCTGCAGTGCCCGGGGCTGTGCTGCAGAGAGGAGCTGGGCACGGGGCTGGGAGGGTCCTGGGGCTGGCCAGGACTGTGCTGTGCCCCCCTGACCCCAGCCCAGGGCACAGCAGCCCTGGCAGCACAAACCCCCCACACCCCTGCCCTGCCAGCCACGGGCGCTGCGAGGTGCCCGGGCAAGGCAACGCGTCCAAAAGTGCAAATGGCACTGAAAGCTCCCCTCAGACCTTCCAAACTGCACTCCTGCCGTGGCTCTGCATTGTTTTAGTGTGCTGCACAAAGCCCAGATGGGAGCACGTGCTTTCAGATTCATATTCAGCACAAGTAAGATTGCAGCTCACCTTGCAGAGACAGTGCTAAGCACAGGAGTCTGCCCAATGAACCAACAGTGCAAAACAGGTATCCTGAATTTTAGTCATTTCCCATTTTCCTCAATTCCTGTCATTTTCCAGACAGCACCTAAAGAACAGCTTTTCTTACATAAACATGAAAGTTCTCCATACTTACCACCACACACAAAAGTGAGCTCTGCTGCTCCCAATCACCATACACACAAGATTATTTGCAGCTTGGAGATGTCCAGATTTATTTACTATCTTTTCCATAGGAACTGCTTTTTGCTGCACAGAAATATTGGCTTTCTTTTGCAGGGCTGTTCAAAATTTAGGTGGGGGGCAGGGGTGGGGGGAAATTAGCACTAATTGTTACAGGACATGTAAACACGTGTTCTAAAGCAGGTTCTTCTCTTCAAACCAATGCTGATGTTTGGGGAGGCTTTTGTAGAGGGAAGTTGGGGTTCTTTAAGGTTTTGTATAATTTAAAGGGCACAAAACCTGGCTGCTCTCTGCTTCACATCTAACATTTGTGTAAAAGAGCATCTCACAGTCATTTTGTGCACTTTTGTACATTTTGTGGCAGTGACATGGACATAATGTGGTGGGCAGCAGAGAACTGGACAGAATATATTCATCCTAAACCACCTGGCTACCACACCCAGCCCTGACCTGTTCCTAAGCCTTCCTACCATTGCACACACCTGTGTCCCCTGACACTGACAGATGCAGGTAGAGATACCTCAAGTTTCATCCATAAATCTAACCTGTTGGTCCATCTGCACACAGACATTCCTCCCTGTTCCAGGGTGTTTTGCAACATCTGCAGCTGCAAATGGATGCAATTCAAAACATTTTCATGATTTTTTGCAAACTCAGAAACTCCTGTGAGAGCAGAGGTGGTGGGCAGGACCTGAGGAGCTTGGGCCTCTCTCATGTCAGAGCTGCTGTTTCCTTTGGCTCCCCAGGCTCAGGGAGCAGAGACAGCCAGCTGGCTGGGAAACCTGTGCCAGTGTCTCATTACCATCACAGGGAAGAATTCCTTGCTAATATCCAATCTAAACCTGCCCTCTGTCAGTTTGAAGCCATTCCCCCTTGTTCTGTCACTCCAAGCCCTCTAAACCTCTCCATGTTTCTTGTTGTCCTCTCCAGCTTCAACAGGACAAGCTCCATTGGAAGCAATTTATCCAAGGGCCACCACTCAAATAAACTGGGGTGAGACAGCCCTGAGATGGCAGCTGCAGGCTGAGGAAATGGGCAAAGCATTTTTCTCATAACCTCCATCATCATCCTCCTCCTGTCTGCACTGCACACATCCTCCCTGGTCAGGGCAAGCTGAGCACCCTGAACTGCTGTGGCTCCCTGAACTGGGCACAGGAGGGGTTTTTCTGGAAAATCTCATTCCAAATGTGCCTCCTGAATCTTTCTGAAAATGTTTTTTCTCAGCATCAGACAAAAGACAAAGTCCTGCATTTACTTCATCTGCAGTGACTCTGTGACTATGATGTATTGTAGTTATTTTAAAAGATGAACAGACAAAAACATTTAATGTAAAGTATTCCTGTAGGAGCAACACCTCAAGCAAGATGACTCTCACTGAACTGTAGATTTATAGGATGATTAAAAAGGATTAAAGCCTTAGCAAACAGCTGTGAAAGCTGTGGCTGTGCTGACTTGGTCTTCAGATTGCCCAAGCACATCGATAAGATGTTTAGTTACTGCACATTATTCCCTCAAAATGCACTCTCTGGGACACAGAGCATGCTCCAAGGCAGGAAACAAAGTGGAGAACTGACATCTGAGGACTAGCAGGATAATAAACTGGTGATAATTTTGTTGCTAATCAATTGTGTTGACAAGAGCAGCGCTTGCAGGTCTCTGATTCAGGGCATACAGGGAGCAATGCAAGATAGGAGGACACAATGGGGACAGAGGACACTGTGCTGTGTCAGGAGCTGGGTCATGTGGGATCTCCAGGAACAGGAATTCTGTAAATGTTCCACAAACTCCACAGCCATTCACCTTCTCCAGCACTGCAGCAATCAAACAAATTTGGTTGGCATCAAGAGTCCAAACACAGAACAACAGAGTGTTCAAATCTGCTGTGGATGAGCATGCAATCAACTTTAGGAGACCCCAAGGGGAACCTGTGCTGTGTCCTGGGGAGAGGCATCACCCTGCCATGCTGAACCACAAACACCCTGGAATTACCCAGCCACACCAAAGCACAGCCATCACCCTGTGATTCAGGGGCCAGCAGTTACCCTGCCACTGAATGGAGGCTGCAGAATGTCTGTGGAATTGAAAATGCTGCTAAATATTGGTTTGGGGGTCAGATGAGTGAGAGGTGGAGGAGGAAGCAGAAATTTAGGTCAAATAAAGAAATAATCCTCCATTTATCATTTTTGTATTGCAGTCAGAAGCAGGTAGGAAACCACTGCTGAATAAGTGAGGTGAACAGAGAAGCTAAAACTCAGATCCAGACCTTCCCAGAAGAGCTTGAAGTGGTAGATTTATCCCTCTGCTCACCAGGACAGCTCACCTGAGCACGAGGAGCCAGGCTCCAGAGGCCACCAGGGTCACTCCCAGCTGCCAGGTGAGTGCTGGGGAGAGGAACCATCCTCCAGAAAAACAAGAAGCCTCTCACCCAGTGAAGCCACACTGCTCCACAATGGCTGGGCCAGCAGCACTGCAGCCAGCTCAGACAGCTGAGGACAAAGCTGCTCCCCCAAGGGACACCTGCTGGAAATCCTGCTCTGTGTTTCCAAGCAGACCAGGAATAAGGCTCCAACTGAGAATTAGAATTCAATTTGTAAAGAAACCAAGAATTAAATATGGGGTAAAAATGGAGAATATGCTAGATGACATTGCATATGAATGTCAGCTCTGTTTGAGGGTGTTTACAGGCAGGCTACAGCTTGCAATTTTAATTGGATCACAAAGTAGAAAATGAAAATGTTTCACTAACCAAGATGAATGGTATGACATTTGTCCTCCAGATTGGTGATGATTATTTGTGGAGATGAATAAACAGCAAAGTTAAGATGAAGTTTCAGTTTCCACAAGCAAGAGGGAAGCATAAATATAAAACTTTATCCCAATTTTCTAAACTGTTCCATAAATCACGAGTGGAAAGTATCCAAATGTGCAGACTTAGGAATCAGAAATGTTCCTGCTGACCACGTTTAACTTTCAGGATCTCAGCTGCACCAGGACTGAAACAGCTGCTAACAAGTTTTACAAAGCCTTTGCCACCAGCCAGCCCAAAGCCTGGCAGGTTATTAGTAAACCTCCAGGGGGATTTAACAAAGACCTGAAAAGTTGCTTGTAGAAGACAGAAGATAGAGGTAAATCTTGATCTGATGTAGAACAGGCAGCTGTGAAACACAGGTGCCAGCACAACTTTGAAAAAAGAGTTTCTTAGAAGGAAGGATGATTTTGGACAAGGTTCTGTCTTCTGGGAAAGCTGCAAGCCCTAGCTGTGCCTGTGGAGCTGCACCCAGCAGGCAGCTCCAGCACCCAGCAGAAGCTCTCAGGGAGAATTCCTGACCCTTTTGGACATTGTGCATCCTTCAGCCAGGTGTGCCAGCAGAGAGGAAAATCTGGCTGCAGAGGCTCAATGGCCCATGGGTGTCACTGCTGTGGATTCATTCTGGCTGTGGAGAAAGAGCCTGAGGTGCTCCATTCTCACCAAAGCAGGGACAGAGTCCCTGTGCTCTGTGCCACAGGGGCCACCTGACAGCTGCCCCCACGAGTTTGTCTATGGAGACACAGATTCATAGGGACCTTGATGTGAAAAACCTTTTAGCAAGAGGATTTAATGACTCATCAGCCATGGAAATAACTCTCTCTGTTCTCATCTGCCAGGGCATTCCTCAGCTTCATAGAGCCACTGCAGACAATCACTGTCCCCTCTGTTCACTGCCATTAATTCCCTGCAATTTAAATTTCAACTGATTTAAATGTTGCTTTAATGTCCCTTTATAAGGTTTTCTAAACAAAATGATCTCCTAACCTTGATCCATCAGGCTTATGTGTGAACAGAGTTGGGACAGACTGGGGGTTCTCTGAGCTACCCCACTAATACAATTCCTGGTGAGTTTCTGTGCACCAGTCTGGTAGAAAATAGCAACAGTGTGAGCAAAAAACATCTTTAACATTTTCTCTTTATTTTCAAGCAGTGGTGTCTATATCCAGAAGTGCTGGCAGTAGGCACCTGCTCATATGGTTGCAACAGCAACATAAAGAAACATCACATCTCAACTCTCTCAACTCTCACATGAGAGAAAACCTACCTAAATACACCTAATTTTCAGCTTAATGTGGTCTAGCAGGTGTTTTGGGCAATCAGAGAAAAATAAACCTTCAGAGCAACCTGTCAAAGAGACAAAGACAGCCTGAGCTCCTGGAGAACATGGGGAATTTCACCTGAGCAAAATGTGAATAAGGCTTTAAACAGAGAGGTAGGAAGCTGCTCCCAAAAGGAGGACACACAACATCTGGCAGGATGCTGGGATGCTGCACCATCTCCATCTGTGGCCCAAATTCAGCAAAATATCTGCCATATCTTTCCAGAACAGCACCTTCAATTTAGCTCACTCTGCAGAGACTCTCACTCAGCCCTGGGATATACCTAATAAAAGTCATTGTCATATCTAATATTCATATTAAAGAATCAGGAGGATCCAATCTAGGCCTGAAAACCTGAAATACCCCAAATGCATTTAAAACACCACCAATATAGGTGTCCTTATTTAAGTATCTGTCAAATGCTGGCAGTGTTCTCAAAACATGAATCAGGACAGAGCTATTATATTTCCAGTGGAAATGCCTGAACCTCATTTAATCTGTTTCAGCTTTTGACCTGTCAGAACCCATATGGGATGAAGCATTGAGTGAATTATGGAAAATCAGCAACTTCTGCTGTGCCCTAATTATTGATCAAAGGAGAAGGTAAGCATTTGCAGGGTCCACACTTGAGTGAAATGCTTTTCCTACTCAGAAAAAGAGAAAGTTCAGTGCAAGCTTTTCTTCAGTGCTGCTGCTATCTATATTACCCAACTGTGACCTGAAAGTGAAAACAGCTATAAACATGTATGAATCATCTTCTTATGTGAATTTTATCCAAGTTCAGACAGGTAGCCTGGATTGTTGAGCTGTTTTTACCTTACTATGCTGTGGTTTAAAGCAAACTTGAGGTAAGGAAATGTACATGTGTCAGTTTTAAAGCTGACATTGTTCCTCTAACACGTGAATAAAATTAAAACAAATCTCAGTCCCATAAAAAGCTGGATTCTGCAAGCTGGGGAAAAAAAACCACATGCTGTTTACTCCTGCCATTAATGCTCTCAAAAGGCATTTTCCTGACATAAAACTCATTTCCACCCCTGTTTTGGTTTTGCAGCATGGCAGCAATAATGTTTAAGCCCGTTGGACACCACCTCATGGAACGTGCTACAAATCAGCTCCATGGGGTGAGCATCCCACTGCTGGCTGCAGCCCTGACACCCTTGCAGGGCTTCCAAGAGGGAAGGAAACCCTTTAGCACCAGGTGAAAGATCAAAATAGAACATTTTGGGCTGTCATTTTAGAAAGAGCTTGCTTGGATGTTGGAGTCTGGGAGGATAAATCAATGGAGGTTTCAGCTTCGGAAGCCAATTTGGAACAAAAGGCAATGTAAAAACATTGAGCTGTCCCAAGGGCCCCACAAAGTCCATTTGCATCTTGTCTGTATGCTCCATGCAAGGGAGTCTAATTCCAGCACTTGCCAGCTATTAGCACGTGCTAATGAGGCTCCTGCAATTCCAGTCCAGGATGAGGACGGCAGGAATTAGACTTGGAGCAGTGGGAGAAGCATTCTGGCAATCAAGGAGCCATCCTGAAGAGGCATTTCTCCTCTGGTTACCACTAATTAAAGCCTCTTTTTGGCTCTTTTTAAAAAAGCCTCTCTTGAAACCCACCATTTGTGGTGGGTCCAGTCAGCCAGCGTGGAGGCAGGATGGGTCTCAGGGACACTCACAGAAGGTCACAGGGAGGGTCACAGGTTTCCTGCACTGTAACTGCATCTCCTTCCAGGGCAGCCCTTACCCTGACCAGGATCCCACTGATGCTGGGACACTGACTCAATAGGGACCCAGAAAAATCATCCACCATGAGCTGGTTATGTCTATAGGTGAGACTGTAGGAACTGGAAACTAGAAACTGGGAAGCACTAAGGGCAAAGGCTTTATGGTATTTACACCCACAGTCACTGTACTTAGGCTCAGTCCCATATGCAAGGCTGTCCAACCACCTAGGAGAGACAGGAACAGCTCTGTGTCCAGGAGGGACATAGTCTGATGCCCATTTGGAAGGTTTATCTTGTATTCTGCATGGCAGTGGGGCTGGGAAGCCCAGAGGCAGTGGGAGCCACCAGTGTGACCTCTGTGCCACAGACTGGAAAGCGATTTCATTACAGTCACTCCCTGGCTGTGAGTTCCTCCTTTGGTTCAAGGAGACTCTCACCTGCCTTGCAGGAGTGGTGGGAAGATGCCCAAATCCTGCCCTGCACAGCACAGGGAAAATGTCAAAATCCTGTCCTACACAGCACAGGGAAAATGCCCAAATCCTGCCTTGCATGCCACAGGGAAAATGCCCAAATCCTGCCTTGCATGGCACAGGGAAAATGCCCAAATCCTGTCCTACACAACACAGGGAAAATGCCCAAATCCTGCCTTGCATGGCACAGGAAAAATGCCCAGATCCTGTCCTACACAACACAGGGAAAATGCCCAAATCCTGCCCTGCACAGCACAGGGAAAATGCCCAAATCCTGCCTTGCACAGCACAGGGGAAAATACCCAAATCCTGCCTTGCACAGCACAAGGGAAATGCACAAATCCTACCCTGCACAGCACAGTCCACGTCAGGACAGCAATGCTGGCAGGTCCAGCTCCACACACAGCACAGGCTCATCTCACACAGCACACCCACCACATGAACCCTGCATTTTGCCTGAAAAGAGCAAGCAGCATTCAGCTCAATCAGAAATGAAAGCAGAGCCCATTCTAACAAACGGGGAGGTAACGAGCCCCAGTTCTCCTCTTGGACACGGTCACAGCTCCTCTTAGGACCAAGCAGAGCTGGGAGTGCACAAGACAGGAAGAGGGCTCTTGGAGAACAGAAGAACCTGCTTTAAGGACATGACACAGAGCTACAACGACAAGGAGAGAGAGAAGTAGAAAGAGACATACTGGAGAAGCTGACCATTGCGAAATGCTGACACCGGTCTCCTGTGAATTCGATCGGACACCTACCGGAAGAGAGAAAACCAGAAAGAGAGAAACAAGATAGCAAAATGACACCCAAACAGGCTGAAGTGAGGCCCCTTCTGATCCCTTCCACGGCTCCTCTCTGTCTGCTTGCAGCCTTGACCCTTACCTGCAGCCCTAAGCCCTACCCAAAGCTGACACCAAGAGCCATCCCTGACTAGAGCACGCTACATCCACCGCTGTGCCCGGGAGGGTTTAAGTAGTGTGGTGCATTTTTTGTCTTCAAACATACTTTGCTTAGGATCTGGCATGTACAATCGCAAAGGCAGTTTCTCCAAACATCTCTGTCCGAAGAATCCATTTGGACATCTGGAGGGGAAAAGGGGAGAAATCACAGAACATGTCTGGCACAGTTCTTGAGGCTAAGGTCAGAAATAAAAAGTGCATTGTGATGAATGGAAAAAATAAAGGCTTTACATGCGTATTTACTCTTTGCTTTCACCAGGCACCTGCAACATCAGTGCTCCAGCTCTGGTTTAGGCCTGGGTCTTCAAGCAGGCAGCCAAACCCCTCCTGCTCTGTCCTGCTCTGCCTGCCTCCTTCCTTCTCACCTGCTACAAGCACCAGCTGGCAGGAAGACTGAGATGGGCTGGATGCTACTCTCAGAGACTCTGTGGAGCTGCTCTGCAGACTGGCAAGAGGCACCAAAAGCAGAGAGCAGCTGCTGAGGCGACAGCGAGCGTTGGGTGTGGAAAGCATCACCCCATGGTGACCCCAGAAGTACCAGGGGTGTTCTCAGGGTGGTTAGAGAGAAAGCACGTGCAGAGTCTCTGTGTTAACAGAGAGGAAGGGACAGAGAAGAAAGCTGAGCTGAGCTGAGGGGTCTCACATGTTGTGAGAGGCTCTCTCAGGCTCTGTCCTGGCCTGGGTCACCCGATGGGCCAAGGTGTGCCAGCCCATGGGCACCAGCTACACACTCACAGGATGCCCAGGTGGCAGGGAAGGTGCCCTGCAGGGCACTGGCACCAGCCCATGAGCAGCTCCCCAGAGCTGAGCCAGGTTTGGGGAGCTGCAGAACCACCCAGGGTGAGCAGCACTGCACCCTCTGCAGCTGCAGGTGAGCCTGGGGAGCCATGGGAGCCCAGCCTGGCGTGGTCAAACACTTCTCCCCCCGGCACTTGTCTCCCTCCCTCACTTCACATCTTCTGGATATTCCTTGGATAGTCCTGCACAGGATCCCTAATTTTCTTCAAGTCCCAGCTCTCCCCTCCCTGTCCCACAACTCTTTCCCTTCCTAGCACACCTCTCTTTCCTCTGAGCTTAAGAGGGCTTTATAGCCTTTTAACATCTGTTTTTCAACTTTTTGTGAGCAGAGCTGCAGGCTCTGCACGTGACACATGTCAGACTTTCCTCACTCTCAGATGCCACCCACAAAATCTCACAGTGATCTGCAAGTGGTCAGCAAGGAAGGGACTGAAAGACACCTCATAAAACACAGATGAATCAGAGGCCAAATCTGATGTCTGTGGCTCAGCTCCTGGCCAGGAGGACAGCAGGAGGTTGGAGCAGCCACAGCAGCATCAGGGAACTGCTCCCAGCCTGTGCATCTGGTGGGGGATGGTCCAGGTCCAGGTCCATGTCCATGTCCAGGTCCAGGTCCAGGTGTAGGTCCAGGTCCAGGTCCAGGTCCAGGCTCCATGTAGAAACCCTTGATTTTTAGTAGTTGTACTTCACCATGGACATCCACTGACCTGGCTTTGGCACTTGATTTCTTGCTGGATTTCACTGCAGTTTGGGTAGGCCTGAGCTGTGCAAAAAAACCTGCTGCACCCTCACTGCCCATGGCCAAATGTGGGTCAGCATCTGGGTTTTTGGGACCTGCTCACACCTCTAAGGGGGAGTGTGCTGGGCTATTTGTGCACCCCAAACTGCTCATGGAGAACTTTAGGGCATGGCTCTGCACGAGGCTGCACTGAGCTCTCCAGTCTTACCCTTCAGTTTCTCAGTATCCAAGTCACTTCTGAAACTGAGAAGTGAACTCCCTAGTCAGGCAAATATCTTTGAAAAATTGGCGCTTTTTTCTCATTCTTGGACGTTCATCTTGGGGCACAGGAAATGGAGATGAACCAGAAATACCAAGAAAAGCTCAGCCCAAGGGGTCACCATCAGACATGAGGCCTGTTGGCCTTCTCTGCAATGGAGCAGAGGAAGCTGGTGCTGGGAAGTGAAGGAAATGCCCCACTGTCAATCAAAAAGCACAAACCTGAGGCACTGGGTGGCACAGACTCACAAAAACCGCCCCAGGACTGGAGAAACCCTCCAGAGATGGCTTTGAGCAAGGAATCCAAAAGAGAAGGTGTCCTCCCAATCCTTTTTTTTGAAGTTTACTCATCACCTCTGACAGAGTCAGGAACTTATTCACAGAGTCTTCAAGGGAATCCAGTTTAGCTTGCAAGGTGCTTCCCATCTCTCTGGGATCTGACATTTCCTGGATGTTGTGAGCACACCAAAGGGCCTCAAGGGTGCTGCTGAATGAAGCAATTGTCCCACCCACCCCAAAAAGGGGTGTTTTGTCAAAAAGGAGCTAAAATTACCTCAGGTGCACACCTGCAAGAGGTCAGCCAAGGGTGGAACTCCAGTGTGACTGAGGCTGCAGGAAAGACTGAAAATTATGGGAAAACTGGTGGAAGGAAATAAAAGCCCAGAGAAAGAAATTGGTAAGAAGTGGGAAAAAAAAGCAAAACAAAAAGGTGTCAAAGAGGCTTTGATGCCATGACAGCTACCATACAGCCCATCTTCAGATCTCTGCAGTCAGCCAGGCGTGGGTGGGGAGAAGAGCTCTCAAGACAGAAGGCAGCAGACAACTGCCTTCCCTGTGTCTAGGACAGCCAGGGTTTTCATCTTGAGTTACTCAGTGATTCAGCACTGGAAGAAGTGACAGGAAAAATGCCCCCCTGAACAAGAGCACCTTCTGTCACCTCTCAAGCTTGTGTACAAGCTGTCAAGACAATGTGCCACCCCTGCATACCTGGGTTCTGGCTCCTCATAAGCAAGGCTGCAGGCAGAAGCAGTGACCAGAAGACCTTTGAGAGCATGCAGTGCTTTTGGTTTTTTTTAAATCTGTCTCTAACTTCCAGGCTGCTGAAGATGATTTATTATTTATGACTGTGGTCCCAGATGTGACTTCAAGGAAAGAAATTTCCAGCATGCTTGGCACATGGTTCTCCCAGTCTGGACAGAAGAGCAGTAGAGATCATCCCTTCTGCATTAAAATCTGCTACCTGTGGTGAGGGCAGCTCTTCTGCAGTGAGGGATACACCTGAAAGTTAAGGCTCCCTGCAGCTGAGAGCTGTGAGCTGGGATTGATCATGGCCTCCTTCTTCCTGCACATTTGACTCAAGAGGTTCTGGCTGGCTGGCCCAGCAAAACCAAGGCCCTCCTTCTTTGGAAACCTCTTGCAGGGACTTCACAGCTGGTGGGCTTCCCTCCAATATCCCCGTGGGAGTTTGTGGTGCACTCACAGAGGCACAATGGGTCCCTCCCAAGGGAAGGGGACAGGGCTGTGTCTGTAGGAATGGTCCTGGGGAAGGCCAAGGCTGCACCAACCCCTTGCAGACAGCACCTTGTCCCCTCTCTGGCCTGAGTGGATACTCCCAAAACTGCCCTTGCTTAACTCCATCTCTCTGTGTCTAATTGCTGCCTCTGAAAATTTCTTGCAAATGCCATTGATAAAACTGGTCAGGGATTTTTCTGTCCAGATGCTGTTTTCTGTTATTGCTGGAAAATATCCCATTCTTTTAATTTTGACCTTAAGACCTTTTCTTTTTTTAATAACCCCATTTTGAAAACATCTGCAAAATTCTGCTCTTGGGTTCAGGATGAATTGCAGTGAGATATTTACATGGTAACAAAAATGCAGTAAGATGATCAGTCAAATAAAGCATCTCAAAAAGCACAAACCAAAATAGTTTGCATGACTCATTTTTATGATGTTTTGCTTATTGCTGAAAATTGAGGAACTTCGACATTTTGCCCCATATCAGGGCAGGGCAATAATTATTGTTAATTATTATTTGCTACTTTTGTTTTCCTGCTGGAAGCAAAACTTTTTCTGTCCAGCTGTTGCTCTAAATCTTGCAAGGGTAGGCACATTTCCTTTGCACCCCCAGATCTTAATTAAAATATGCCAAATTCAGTAGCTCTCATAAAGCAATCCATGTTACAGAAAAATGTGAATGAGCAGGTGCTTCAAAATGACACAATAAAGACAAGCTGTAGCAGAAGGACACAATGCACTGAAGTAAGCAAATGGAAAAAAAAATGTTTCAAGCACGTTGCTTTTTTGTGGGAAGGGCTGAAAAAGAAGACAGTTCTGTCATTGTCCCCTGACCAGTCCCAGATGATCAGGCTCTGGAGAGCCACAAAAGGCTGGACTCCACCAAATCACTGATGGGAAGAAGAGAAAGCACCCAGAATAAACACAAAGGCCTTCTCCAGAGCAGCTAATCAAGGCATGTTTGCTGCAGAGTGGAGTCCAAAGCTCAGGGACAGCCACTGCTGGCTCAGGGATGGCAGGATCTGTGCCCCACTGAGCCTTTGCTGCTGCAGGATCAGCTCCCACACTCTGATGGCCTCAGGGGCTGATGCAGTCACTGTGCATTGAGCTGGAGGCACAGATGGGCCACTCGAACCTGCAAAGGCACCTGACCTCATCACCCAAGACAAACAGCATGCAAACCCCAGAGAACAGAGTCCTGGCTGGTTCGGGGGATTTGGAACAGGATGTGGGGATTTTCACCCCTCGCTCTCCACTTCCAGGGACATTGCAACACCTCCCCACAGGGCTGCTGGACACCCCTGGGACAGTGACGTCCCTGTGGCTGTGCAATGAGCAGCTGCTGCTGACCAAATGCCACTGGCAGGGGTGGAACAGCTCCAGGTGCCACAGGGCAGCTGAGCAAACAGTGCTGCCAGGGGGCCCATGGCCACACAGCATCCCTGTGACAGTCACACCTTTGGATGGTGCTCTGGGAAAGCACAGGGGAGCTGGCAGCCTGAACAAAACTTCAGAATGATCTTTCTCTTTCCTGGGAAAATCTGCAGGAAACAATACTCTTGGGGATGTGATTTTGAAAATTGGTGACTTGGATTCATCAATTAATTTTAAAATGATCTGATGTTTTCTCCTTTTGCTTTGTTTTGTTTTTTATTCTCTCCTTGACTTTCGCTTTTTGCCTGAGGTGGGCCAGGCCTCTGACCTGCCTCCCCCACGTAAGGCAGAGCTGTCACCCCAAACCCAGGCTGTCTGTTTATCTGTCAGCATTTGAAAATCATCCAGGCTGATTCTTGTGAGCACAACTGGTCCAACATGACGTGGGGTGCTGCTCCATAATACTCTTTAAGTCTGCTGATCCCACATAAGATCCTGGCCCAGAGCAGATCACTTTGATTCCACTGACCACACAGAAGAGATGAGAAGAGCATTTCAGTGGGCAGAGAAGGCTCTGCAGTGATGAGACCTGGCCTGCTTGCTTTGTTTGGCTGGGAAGACCCCAACTGTACCTCATGTGTGCCAAGACCTAACTGGGGAAAAGAGCATTTCTGCTCTTTGGATAGCACAGCCCTGTGGGGCACCCAGCAATAAAAGGTTAGAGCAGCCTCCAAGTGCTCTGAGCTGTGCCAAGGACTCTCCAGGACGGAGGCAGATCCAAGAGCTGAGGCTGCCACTCATCCCAAGGCTCTGTGTGACTGGGCACAACAAACCAGGCACCACTGCTGTGTGCCCCAGCCCATCTCAGGGCCTGGAGACTTCCTTGTGTGCACCTCCTCTGTGCTCTGCTCAGACCTGTCCCTGCCCTGGAGGCAGCTCCTCAGGCCTCTCTGAGCAAAATCATCTGCAGAAGCCTTGGGAAATTCTTCCTGTCAAGATCCTGGAGCTTTTTAATTTACAAGGGATGCTGAGTCAGTTCTGTCTGTGTGTGGCTCTGTCATTTCCCAGGTTTATGCAGAAAATTTGCAGACTATTTGAGGCAGGTCCCACTTCTCCCATTTGACTTCCAGGTGGTCTGTTTGCAGAGTCAGGATAGCAACATACATTTTATTATGTTCAGGTCTCCTTTGTATAGGATTTATTTCAAATTAGGGATAAAATTATGGAAGAGCACAATACAGAAAGACACAATTTCTGGAACAATCCAAGTCCATTCGGGGCTCTTCCTAGTGAAGAAAATGCTTTATCCAAGGTCTGTCTGAAGCATATTAGAAAGGGAGGGAGGAAGTGGGATTACAAGCAAATACTTTGTTCCTGAGCATTTGAAAGACCAGGAGGAACACGTTTCTGGGAAGCCTGTTATAAAATAATAATAAAAAGCCAGCTGCCAATTTAGGCAGTATTTGTTGCAAATCAAGCATGAACCACATCAGGAGAAGAAATTATTGGAGAACTCATCTGCTGTTTTTGGATCAGACTGCCAGGAGAGACATCTTCAGGAAGGATTTCCTGTGCTTCTGGGCATCTGCAAGAATGGAACCCACCCCAAGAAGCTGATTACAGGCTGGTGGCAGGCAGTGAACAAGAAGACTCCAAAATTCTGGTAGCTGGCATTGGAAAGGGCGGGAACATCACAAGGGTGCTGGAGTGGGGGGTAGAACCCCCTGAGCATTCAGTGAGGGAGGGCTGGAAGCTGGCACAGGGGCCAGATGATCCCCCCAAGGTCCTGGTGGCTCTGACTGGAACAGTGCCATGGAAAGAGCACATGGGCACACGTGCTGTGCTCCTGGCTGGAGCTGCTCATGTGGCTCTTGCTGATCTCCAAAGCCTTTGAAGAGGTTGTGAGCAGAACCTACTGATCTCCTCCATGCTCCTGGCTCAGAGGCACAGTCAGGCTGGAGGGCCAAGGCTGCTGTTGCAGAGATCAGAAATGAGCTTGGAAGCCTGTGTCTTTGCCTCTTCTCCTTTCTCCTGCATCTTTCACAAACCACAGCAGCAGATCTCCTGCCTTGGTGCAATGAGGAAGCCATGCAATGTATCAGCTCTTTGTTTGCAGGCAAAGTGAAGTCTGTTTATTCATCAGCATCTTCCCCAAAAATCACCCTTGTCACATAAAATGGGAGAGCCATTTTATGGGAAACACTTTTCAGTTCAAATGCTTCTGCATTCCTCAATAGCTATTATCCTCTAGAATCCAGAAACTCTAAAATTACACCACTTCAACAGCCAGGTTTTCTTATCTTCAGTCTGAGATTTAATGATAAAAACACCCAAGGAGAATGAGCATCCAGGGATCTCCTCAAGCAGTAAGATCAGAAGTGACTGTGCTGTGTGGAAGGCATTGGGTCCCCTGGGTTTCTGAGAACATGGAGCCTTGTTTTTCTGTTTTTCTTGTTTTTCACCTTTTCTGGCAGATGAGCAGTGACAGTGCAGACCTTCCAGCACCTCCTTCTGGGAAACACCTTCCTGCCCTTCCACACATGCCTGCTCAGTTCCCATCTGGTTTTAGCAATTGGCACCTTGGAACTCATCAGGAAAGGATATCATTTTACCATCTGCAAAGTGAGGAATTCAGGCTTTCAAATGATATGAAATAATTAGGTCTGTTTGGTGTGGCACATAAAATCTTAATGGGATCCATCACTGAGTGTTCCCTCTGTTCATCATCTGTCAGAGCAGCCTGGTTGGAAGGTAGGCTGGAATTGCTTTGGTTGAAACAGTCGAGCTGCTGAAGACATTGGACAAGTACCACAGTATTCTTCATTAGGAAAAAGTGATTCTTATGCATGGTAGGGGTTCAGGTAACTCTTGTCGTAATTAGAAATTGATCCCATTTGAATCTTGATCTGCATTTAGGTTCTTCCCAAAAGAAAGAGCCTTGAAATCTGTGCCTCTGCCATGACCACACTGCTTGCAGATTTGATTCATACACTCCTCCTCACTTCAAGGGTTCAGCCCTTCCCAGAATGGAAAGATTGGAATTTCTGGGGCTTCCTGGGCTGCAGCTACCCCAGAATGGTGGCTGTGACTTTAACCATCATATGGGGCTCCCCCCCTGTTTCCTGTGAGGAGCACTGACCAGAGGAGCCCACGGTGCCACCAAGAAGCCAATGGCAGTGACAACTACACCAAAGCACAGGGCTGGGGGGACAAGGGCTGCTCCCACTCCCTGCACACATGGGAAATGTGGGAGCCACAGCTTCTGGTTTCTGTCCTGCCCGGCTCTTTCTGTGTCTAAGGGTGAGCCTGGGAGGACTGGGAGCTGCTCCTTCCACCCCAGCTGCACTGGAAAGCCAGAGCACAAGAGCTCAGCAGGATACATTTCCACATGGCCTCTTCTGCTGCTCCCTGCAGAATCAAAGGAGTTCTGGGACAAGGGAGGAGCTGTGCTCAGTGTGATCCAGCCCTTTCAGGCTTTCCACAGGGGGTGAGAGTTGTGTTCAGTGCAGCCTCCAAGGCCTGAGGAGCTGAGGTACCTGATGAGCATCACATCCTGCAGTGCTGCTGGGTGACATCCACAGATGTGAACACCTTTGGCTGTGTCTCCACTGAGAGGTCTTGGGTTCCAAAGGGAGAAAATTGTCAGCTCTGGGTTTCTGCAAGCTGGGCAGTGATGCCTGGGTCACCAGGGGAGCTCAGGAGAGGATTCCATCTGCCCAGTGAGTGCACACCCAGGGCACCACGTCCTGCTCACTGTGCAGGAGCCCAGGGGCAGGGACAGGTGAGCTCTGGGTACCTGCACCCCCAGCACTGGCAATCAGACTGCACAGCTTGTCCACAGGCTTGGGGGGTGAGGTGTGAGATGCCACTGGGCTGTCTGGCTCTGAACCAGGGGTGAAAAAGTCTCACATCCCATTCCAAATCCCTCAGGCTGTGCAGCCCCACTTCAAACCCTTCAAAGCTCATTTTAAGGATAACTTAGTACGGGTCTCTAGTTTTTCTTGCAGGTTTGAAGGGGGAAACAAACATCCCACACAGTGGCCACAAAGCTGCACAGAGAGGAGAAGAGCTGGGGGTTAACCCTGGGCCCATGAGACACAGGAGAGGTTGGGGCAGGTCTCAGTGAGGGACCCCCCCAGCCATGGGGAAGGAGGAGGCTGTGCCCCTGAAAATCTCCCTGATTGGAGAACAGGACCTGTCAGCTCAGGGAGAGCAAAAGGGACCCAAATTTCCTTGGAGCTGCAGAGGAGAAAGGGGAGAAAGGGAAAAGAAGCAGCCAGAACAAACATATTCTTAGAGGGAGAAAAGCCAGGAAAAGTGAACAGTGACACGCACACAAAAAAGGAAAATACAAATCCTCTCCCCCCCTCCCCACCCCTGCCCCTCTAGTGCCCCTTTCTGAACCTGCACAGCTCAAACTGCAATTGCCAGGAGAATTTCAGAGCTCCCCCCCAGTCTGGCAGTTGCACAAAGGTCTCCTCTCCCTCAGCCAAGAAATTTCCATATTGACACAAGAACTCCACTCACTTACTTGCACGACAGCTGATTAATGCCCTCGATGTAGTAGCACACCCCTCCATTGACACAATAGGACTTGGCTGTTTCGTTGCATTTTCTGGCATGCCCGGACCAGGAGGAGAGAGTTGTGGTTACTGCAGGGGAAAACAAAAACACACACAAAAAGGATATATTGTTATTTCCTTTGTTTGGCAATTCTGCTTCCTTAGATGATTTTCTACGAGTTCATTTGCCAAAGTAAAAACCCCAGAGCTACAAACCTTAGCCTGTGCCTGCAGACCCACCTTCGGGTCCCAGGGCTGCAACTTGACCCTTCCTTTCCCAGCAAAAGGGGCCAAGTGAGTGAGGAGTTGAAGACTCATCTTCCTCTAAGCAGCCAGCACGGGGTACAAGATCATTTTCTTGGCAAGCTGCAGGGAAGTGCCCCTCTCCCAGTGTCCTTGGCCCTCCCTCATGCTGGGGATGCTGTGCCAGCAGGCAAGCAGGGCTCAGGAAGGAGAGGGGCTGCAGAGTCACAGAGTGCCAGTGATGTGCTGCTGAGGCCCGAGCACCTCAGGACACTGGAGCCAGACCCAGAGGTGCTGCAGGGGACTTTGCATTGCTCCACACCTCTGCCAGCTGTGTTTTCAGAGCCAGGAGCAGGTCTGGCATGAGCAAGAGCAGCTCCATGAACAGGGCTCCATCCCTGCCCTCTCCTGAGCGTTTCTCTGTCCTGCCACAACTGGGCTGCCCCTACAGCCCCAGCAAAGTGCAGCAGGAGAAGCCAGCCAGCCCCAGCTCGTGCTGAGGCAGGCAGCCAACATGACTCCAGTTTCCCAGGTGCTTTTCCAAATCTAAACTTCTTTCTAGAGAAAACCTTTACAAAATGTTTCTAGAGAAAACCTGTCCCGTAAGTGACAAGAAAACCTGCAGAATTTCACTGTAATTCCTGTCTTTGAGAGACTCTGATAAACTTAGAGTCTCCAAAGGTAAAACAAAGGCTCCTAGGAAGGAAAAAATCAGTTGTTAGAGCACTGATACAGGTTACAGATGGTGAGCAGCTTTGGGGAATGCAGACCCATTTTCACGTAAGTCTAAGGAGTGCTGGGCACTTAAAAGCATGGATTTGTTACAACTGAACACTTAACCTCATTACAAACAGTCCCCTTTCCTGGACTACCCACCTTGCTCAGACCCTATCACAGCTACACCTCCAGCAGTGGCTACTGCCTACTTTGCAGCACCTTTTATGCTGTAGCCAAAGCTTCTGAGGAGATATTCTCTTCCATCCCGTTTTCCAAAGCAAGAATGAGCTTCATGGAGAGGTTTGTGACACCATCACTGAGACTGCATCCTCACTGACACAGGACTCGAGGAAGAAAACTTGAACCAGAGCCAGGCAGGAGCCAGGCAGAGCCTGAGGAGGAGCAGCAGGGCGAGCTCCTCATGGCCTGTGCCACAGGGAGCCAGGGCTGCTCCCTATTCCTTGGGCAGCCCCTGTGCCCATCCACCTCTGCAGGGGCTGCAGCACACACAGCAGAGCCAAGGGCTGCATTCCCAGCTCCTGCTGGGAACATCTGGGCTCTCCCAGGCAAAGGAGGCTCCCAGCACCTTGGGAAGCCTCTCACATGTGGGTGATGCTTGGCACTTGAGCTTGTTCTGTCTCTCACCCGTCTGGGACTCTCTGCAGGGTCTGTGGGGTCTGTGCCTCTCCAGAGGAGATCCCCACGGTGCTGTGCCCACCTGGAGCACCCACACTGTCACCTGAGCAGGGCCCAGCTCCCTGCTCTGCCCCATGTGCTGTCCCAGCCATTGTCTGCCATTCCCATAAGGAAGTGGATGCCTCCCACTGGCTGACAGGCCAGAGCTATTTCCATGCTTTGCCTTGAATAACCATTGCCTCTGGCTCTGTCTTTTCACAGTTATCCAGAGCACAGCAAGCTGTCCCAAAGTGCTCTGCTAAGGAGACATGGAAAACACTCCAGCAGAGACCCAGAGTGCTCACAGCCCTGGGACAGCAGCTGCTCCCTCAGGGCACGTCCTGCAGCCAGCTGGGAGCCAAATGTGGACAGCAGGGTGCACACACTGGGGTGTTGGAGCAGAGGATGGTTTGACCAAGCCTCCAGTGAAACCCTTTCAAAAATCTGAATCCCACACTTCTGCAGGAAATTCAGCACTCCCTTCCAGTTAAGATTAATGGTAACTAAAAGCCAAAGCCATTATGAGCCTGTGTAATTTATCTGAGGAATGCAGACTCATTATACAGACAAGACTTTATAATTTATACCTTTACAAGATAGTAGCACATTTCTGCTCAGGAGAGGAGAGCTGTGGGTCTCTGATAAGTGTGGGTCTCTGCAAGTGCACCATTGGATCAGGGAGCACTGAAACTTCATCAGCCCAAGAGCTGGTGCAAATTGAAAGGCACAGGGATGAAAAACAAGCACAGGCTGCAGGGAGCTGTCACCCCTGCAACCATCAAACACACCACTTGGTAGCTAGCAAAATGATCCATCTGGCAAAGTCTCACATCATAAACCCTGCAGGGAATGATTTTGGAGCAAGCCTTGCCACAGCAAGAGAGGGGCAGAGAGGGAGAATTGAAAACAGAGCCCAGAAACCTCCCCATAGGAAACACCCCAGATACAAAGATACCCAACCCACCAAGAAAGGTGGATGGGAAGATGCAGTGCTGTGTGATGTGATACAGGGAGGATCACAGCGCTCATCAGCCAGAGATTGCATGGGATCTTCATCCCATAGAAACAGTTTTGTCCCTTTGAAACAGGTAAAAAAGATCCTGACATGGTTGAGGCTTGGGCATCTTGGGCACTTCTAGGGGAGGGCTGTCAGCAGAGCTGTGCCTGTCAGGAAAATACATGGGTGATCACCTCTACTGGAAGCATCTTTCTAATGTCATCATCCTTTCAACCCTGTTTCCTGCAAGTACCTTGCCTTTTGCGCCAAAGAAGCACAAAGTGTTTTAAAACTGAGCCATGGAATCACCTCACTCCAGTCCATTTGTCAGCACAGAGATGTGGCAAAGGCCACAGAGAGAGGCAGTTCCCTGTTGAGAAGGGAGCATCAGGAAATGAGGCTATTTCAGACTGTAACACTGGTCAAGCCAAAGCCCTGTCTTGGCCCCAACAGTGGCAAAGCTAAAAAAGATCAGTGATAATCTTCCTTAGGCCATGCAGGATGGGCAGCTCAGAGACAACCCAAGGCAGCCTCAGTGTTGTCACATTTAGTGGCCTTTGCTGGATACTTCCACCAACAAGTTTAGTTGCTGTCTGAATAAATCTAATCTTGTAGCACCCACAATATTTGTGACAAGAGCTGCAGTGCTATGAACAGTGTGTAAAGCCACATCTCCATTTTGATATTTTAACCTGCCCTTTCCTAGCTCTTGTATTAGAAAAAACTACTCTTTATCCCTACTTGTTTCCCCTGTGCTACCTGTGGCATTGCAGGCACAGCCAGCATCTCCCTCCCTAGCTGGGAAGCAATGATCTCTATTTATTCTTTTTTGGGTCATCCCTGGTTCTGCTTTTCTCTTTGGAAATAGTGAGACCATACTGCACACATGATATTTATGGGATATTTATTCCAGTCATAGGAATTCCTAATGGGTTTTTTTTTTTTGAGGTTTGGTGCACTGAATACAGATCTGTCTCTCTCATAACCCTGAAATTTCACTGGTGTGTGGTAACATTCATTCTAGAGCCTTCCAAGGTGCCTGATCACCCTGGGATGCTGCAGCAGCTGGGATTTCACATTCATGAGAGCAATTATTCAGGGAGCAAGGATGGAGAGACCTGCCAAGCTCCATGGGAGGACAAAGGGAAGCAAAATGTCTCACTTAGAGAATGGTAACTGTGCCTGGGTTGAAGCGTGGCCCTCGGACGCCACGTGGCTGCAGATCACACACGGGCACTTCAGAGCAAGAGGCCAAGGGAGATTTCAGTGGGTTTCCAGCACACTGGTGGGGTCATTCCCAGATTCACAAGTTCTTTGTGTTTAGCTCTATTCCCCTTCAGCCTGGACCAACACTTGGACAACTGCATGCCTGGTCCAGAGTCATGTGGGATGTTGGACCTTGGTGAAGTGAACCTCACACACAGTTTATTTACAGCTCTGTGCCAAACACTGTGCCTGGTGATCCACAGGCACAATTACTTCCCACAGCTATTTCACATTAACTGCTGTACAACAGCAGGCAGATTTTCCCCCCCATTGGCTGGTGTGGCAGAATAAGTCCTTCATTCAGCCTCCAACACAACTCCATCTCTCCCAAATGACTCAGAAAGTTGTGAAATTGCTGAGATGAGTGCAGAACTGAATAAGCAAGAGAGCAGTTTTGGGTGGTAGCAGGGTGGAACAGGACTCATGAAGGCAGTGGGACGTGATGAGGGGGCTGTGCAGTGACACCAATCGTGTACCAAGAACCTCCCCAGGTACTTCAACAAATTAAAAGCAGAAAACCACGAGTGTGCATGAGGCAAGCAAGTGGTGACATTTCCTTCTGACCAGGGGGAATAAGCAAGGTGCCCCTGAGATCCACAGTGGCAAACTGGTCAGAAAGCCCATGCAGGGTGGGAGAAGGGCTGGAGCAGCTCAGCCATCAGCAGGTCAGACCTCCAGCTGGTCTTCAGTCCCAGGATTGAGAACAAAGCAGGAGGGAGGGAGGAGGTGAGGACAAAGAAGAGAGGAGAATAATGAGGTGAAGAAAAGAGGTGAGGACAGGGAAGAGAGGGCTGGCTCTTGATGATGTGTTTGTGAATGATCTGCAGCCACATTTTATTGTTGCTGCCCCAGCCAGTGAGGACAGAGCAGCATAAACACATGGGAGATTCAGAGCACTGGAGTCATTCACAGAGTCTATTTTCCACCACATGCCTCAGTCATTCTGGACTATCATCAATGGCAGGGCAGCAGAGAAGAGAGCCAGGGGCAGTGACTGTGCCAGGTGGACTTCCCTTCACACAGCCCATCTACGCAGAAAGGCCATTAATGATTGTGCAGGGATTCTTACACAATTCCTGCCATGCACGTCATCTCACCTCTGCAGGCAGCTCACCAGCCTGTTCCCAGAAGCCTGGTGAAATACTCCCCCTGCAAAGAGTTAATTAATGCAGCTTGGACTATAAATTATAGT